GGCAGGAGGAAGCATTTCCTCAGTCTCCCCTCCCCCAGTGATCAGTCTGCTGCAGGCAGGAGGAAGCATTTCCTCATTCTCCCCTCCCCCAGTGATCAGTCTGCTGCAGGCAGGAGGAAGTGCTGCCTTGGAGAGTCTTGCTGTGTAATGTGAAGAGACGGTTAAGCGGGCCATGCACGTATAGATATCTTTGGTCTCCATGTTCTACAGCGAGGTATTTGACAATCTGTGCTCCGCATAAGCTCATAAGGTTCCAAAATAACAGAAACTAAACTATTTGGATTTATTGTGCAAATTCTTAAACAATTTCATATGCAAAATGTTTATGTTCCAACATGGCAGCCGACCAGCACTGGAGCCAAACCTCCCATTTAGACCAAGAGGTCAGGTCCTTGGTACATTTGCCTTGTCTGCCTTTCTCTTCCTCATCTTTTACCTTTCCTTGGTGACTCCTCCCCCCATTGTAGGCTGCTGACCCCAATAGGATGGGATAAACTCCCCCCCACCCACATCCCCGGGGGCCCGGGGGGGGGGGGGGGAGAAACTTCATTAACATCACACAGTGTGCGGCTGCTCCGGGACGCCCCGCTCGTCATGGAACCGCCTCGGCCTCTTGTATGTTTTATTTCTGCCGCACGGATTTAATTTATCACCCAAATTACGGATCAGAACCGTACACAGTCTGCCCGGGACTCATCATCCACACCTCAGACTACAGATACCATGCTGGAGATACTATGCTAGAGATACACTATATCACCAGAAGTATTGGGACGCCTTTACACGCACATGAACTTTAATGGCATCCCAGTCTTAATCCGCAGGGTTCAGTATTGGGTTGGCTCCGCCCTTTGCCGCTATAACAGCTCCGCCTCTTCTGGGAAAGCGTCCACAAGGTTTAGGAGTGTGTCTATGGGAATGTTGGAGCATTTGTGAGGTCGGGTACTGATGTTGGGGGAGGGGCTCACAGTCTCCGCCTCTAATTCATCCCAAAGGTGTTCTATGGGGTTGAGGTCAGGACTCTGTGCGGCCAGTCACGTTCCTCCCCCCCAAACTCCCCCATCCGTGTCTTTATGGACCTTGCTTTGTACACTGGTGCGCAGTCATGTTGGAACAGGAAGGGGCCGTCCCCAAACTCCTCCCACAAAGTTGGGAGCATTAAATTGTCCAACATGTCTTGCTGATGCCTTAAGAGTTCCCTTCACTGAAACTAAGCGGCGGAGCCTAATGCCTGAACCCCCCCCCATAGTCCCCCCTCCACCAAACTTTACACTTGGCACAATGCAGTCAGGCAAGTACCGTTCTCCCGGCAACCGCCAAACCCAGACACGTCCATCGGATTGCCAGACAGAGAAGCGTGATTGGTCCCTCCAGAGAACACGTCTCCACTTCTCTAGAGTCCAGTGGCGGCGCGCTTTACACCACGGCATCCCACGCTTTGCATTGCACTTGGTGATGTAAGGCTTGGATGCAGCTGCTCGGCCATGGAAACCCATTCCATGAAGCTCTCTACGCACTGTTGTTGTGCCAATCTGAAGGCCACACGAAGTTTGGAGGTCTGTAGCTATTGACTCTGCAGACAGTTGGCGACTTCTGCGCACTGTGCGCTTCAGCATGCGCTGACCCCGCTCTGTCATGTGACGTGGCCGACCACTTCCTGGCTGAGTTGCTGTTGTTCCCAGTTGCTTCCACTTTGTTATAATCCCAGTAACAGGTGACCGCGGAATAATATGTGGAGGGGGAGGGGCCAATACGTTTGGCAATATAGTGTACTAGAGATACTATACGGGTATACTGTGGTTTGTTTGTCTTCCCCGGAGCTGTCTGTGTCACCTAATGATCTGAACGCAGCAATACGGCGAGGGATGAGTCTGGGGTCACGGGGGAGGGGCACTTTCATATATTTGATCATCGTCATTGTTCTAAGAATTTAACAAGCTGCCTGGACATAATTCTCGGTATCTCTTCCTATTCTCTGTGTGTTTGCACATTACTGCTTCTCATGTTCTGTATGCTGGGAGTAATTCTTCATCAATATTTGTAGTTTTGATCTACAGACAGTCACCGGTACATCACTTCTATGTTATAATAAGTTACAGGTTAGATGTTCTAACCCTTGAAGCTGAAGTTTAATCTGCTTATACAGTATTTTGCCTTTCCTGCTTCCTCCCCTCCCCCCTCATCGATATTCTAATTACATTTATAAACTTAAAGTGACACTAAACTCCCTCCCAGTCCCTGAACTATGAACAACAATGTATCTTATTGTGTGTCACTCGGCTGTAGATCCTCCAATCATCTCTGACACTGTCCTTCCTTCTGGAGGGGGGCTACGTCTGTTCCCCGTGGCACCTGTGTGTGTTGTAAAGTAGTCACCGCTCTAAGCTCCGCCCCCCGGGATGGACTACAATCTCAATACAAATCAGTAAACTAAACCTGAGATTGTAGTCCATCACAAAACGTTATTTTATAATGACTCGTGCCACACAGATATCTCTCCGGCTCCCCAAATACAAGTATATACTGTATACTTGTCACACTGAATACAGGTGGTGTAATACATGGGAGTCACAGTGGTACCAGTGGGCAGTAGAGGGGAGTGGTACAGGTGAGTGGTACAGGCGGGCAGTACAGTGGGTTGGTACAGGCGGGCAGTACAGGCAGGCAGTACAGTTGAGTGGTACAGGCTGGCAGCAGAGGGGGGTGGTACAGGTGGGCAGTAAAGGGTGCTGGTACAGGTGAGTGGTACGGGTGAGCTGTACAGGTGAGTGGTACAGGTTGGCAGTACAGGGGGTGGTACAGGTGAGTGGTACAGGTTGGCAGTAGAGGGGGTTGGTACAGGTG